AGCTAGGGGTATAGTTGGCATGCCAAGAGTCGAGGGTCTACGCGGTCCTTCGGGATATATATATTCTTTGGAACATGTGTGAAGTATTGTGAGACACATACTTGATCCCTAGTATATGTATATGATTCTTAAGGAATGATATGTGGTCCTTATGGACATTATTATATGGCACTACGGTGTAATTCTACGCTGCACTCCGGTGCAATTCTACGTGGCACTTCGGTGCAATTATACGAGCTGTGGTGACAGCATTAGTGCACAACCTCTATAGACTCACATGTCTATGGTTCTCACATGTGTACATGGGCTAATAAAGGAAATAATATAAAAGAACCTTGCATGATAGTATGTGATTGGTTTGTAATCTTTATGGTGTGAAGTGATATATGTGATATGATGATGTGTATATAGCTTGGTTAAGAGGAATTGATTCAAGAACATATGAAAAAAAGATAAAGAATAAAAATAAGACTAATAAAGAGATAATAATAAATACCTTACATATGATTTACATGTTTTGTGCTATGAAACCTGTTATAAGAATATGTGAATGATGTGTGTGTACAAGTGGATAGTGGTTACATGACAGAATGTATGATTTTGTATGATATAATAAGTATAGATTATGAATGCATTAGTAATGGTTATTTGTTTTTATGCCTCACTAAGTCATCGACTTAGCGTGTGAGTGTTTCACACTTAGGTTTCGGAAAGCTAGAAGAAAAGTGAAGAGGAGCAAGACCGGTCAGTTACTTCCTACCGAAGATCATATCAGAAAAGATGTCTTGAATTAGATGTATTATGTATATTGAATATAGTTGGCATGTACTAATTGATTGAGTTAAACAAACCGCTGTGGCTTTAATGAAAGTTTTAAATTTTCTCGAGTTTTTGTCATGAGTCAAAGTTTGAAAAGTCAATGTGACACCTCGGACTTGTATCCGGGTCGGGTACGGGTTGGGGTGTTACATCATCGCTCCATGTAGCCACATGAGCCTTGTGCTTAATTTTTTATTGACTATTTCTTTTCAGTTGTGGACAATCATATTTGACATACCCCGACTTTTTGCATTTATAGCAAATGATAGGGTCCTTCTCTTTTGGTTCATTTTTTAAGCCTTTATTTCGTTTGAATTTTCTTCCTCGGTAAGGTCTCATCATTTTTCTGAACTGTTTGGCAAACAATGTCATTTTCTCGTCATCGTCATCTTCATCCGAATCACTCTCATCTTTTGTGGATTTTAGAGCAACTCCAATGTTTTTCTTCTTCTCCTTCTCTTTTAGTGTCTCGTCAATCTTATCGAGGTCCACCTCATCTTCAAGCATCATTTCATGAGTGAAGAGGGAACCGATTAGCTCTTCAAGAGTTAAGGACTTTAGGTTCTTAGCCTCGATGATTACAGTCTTCTTGGATTGCCATGATTTTGGAAGTGAGTAAACCAACTTCCTCACAAGCTTTTCGTTTGGAATGATCTCTCCATATGATTTGGGACCAATGACAATCATTGAGAATCTATTCGTCATAGCTTTGATATCTTCATTTGGTTTCATCTTGAAATTTTCATAGCTATGTGTTAGAAGACTAATTTTAGATTCTTTTACCTCGTCGGTGCCTTCATGAGTGACTTGTAGTTTATCCCATATTTCTTTGGCGGTTGTACAAGATGAAACTCTTCCATATTCATATGGTCCAAGAGCACAAAATATGATATGGATTGCTTTGGAGTTGAGTTGGAACATTATTGTCTCTCCTTCACTCTACAATCTTGGATGAGTGAGAGGCTTGATATATCCATCTTCTACAACATTCCATGCTTCCATGTCACTTGCTTGAATGAAATACATCATCTTATTCTTCCAATAGGCATAGTTAGATCCATTGAATAAAGGAGGCTTGTTGACGGGCATTGAATCGAGACCGGAGTCCACATTTGAATTAGAGGCCATTGATGACTTGACAATCGATATAACTCTTCCCGAATCGACTCAAGAGGTGATTAAACCTTCAAATGAGTGAGGCTCTGATATTAATTGTTGAGTTAATCGATCGACGGAATCGGCCAAGAGGGGGTGAATTGGCAATTAAATTTTTTGTGGCAGCTTTTGCAGATAATTGAAAGTAATTGCACAGCGATATAGAGTGGTTCAACTTTCTCAATCAAAGTCTACGTCCATTACCTTAGCTATCCACACTAAGGATTTTCCAACAAATTCGCTAATTTGTTCTTTCTTTTGAGGCCAAAGAGATAGCCTTACAACTCCCTCAAGAATATACCCTAATTATCGAGAACACTCTTTCTTAAAGAGAATATTACAAATTTGCAAACTTACCAGAAAATCCTCACAAGGTAGATTGTTTGCAAAATTCTAGAACAAAGAAAATAACACTCAAAAATGAATACAATTGATTACAAGTAGTGTTCTTGAAAGCAAAATGAATATTGAATGAAAAAATAGGCTTGAAATGCTCAAACTTGAGGTTTGATGCTTTCTCTTTGATTCTCTCTTGATTCTTATTGATTGTTGTTTCTTATTTTTTATCAATGGCTTCTAAGCTTGTTTAAATACACCTTCAAATGATTCTGAACGTTGAGGATGCTTAGTGGAGTCAATAGATCTGTTTAAGTGTGAAAACAATTAATAAATTCAGTTAGGAGCGTCAGTGCATCGATGCATACCCATGGTGCATCGGTGCATCAGTGTAAAATTCAAATATTTTGACCGTTGGACCCTTAGTGCATCGGTGCACTAAGAGTGCATCGATGCATCAAGTGCATTCGATGTTTCAAAATAGCCAGAGTGCATTAATGCATGGCTGGTGCATCGATGCATTAAATGCATTCGATGTTTTCATAAAATCCTTAGTGCATCGGTGCATGGTATGTGCATCGATGCATGAAATGCATTCAATGTTCAATTTAATTCATGGTGCATCGATGCATGGATTGGTGCATCGGTGCATCACTTTGATAAATTGATTTTAGGCTTGATTTTGGTTCAAAATACTTTATGAAAATTGTTTCAAAAATAGTTTAAGTATAAAACACAACTTTACACATTTAGTAAGGTTTGAATTTGAACTTGAAAGACTTGGAGTAATAATTTGATATTCGATTAATTAAATCGAATATACTTAGAAAATCTTTTGTAAAATCTTAAAATTCATTTAAACTTAATTTGTTATATCGAAACACAAAAATGTTTTCAACACTTACTTCCAGATAGCCCAAAAGAGAAAATAAATACCTTCTTGCAAGTGATGCGAGAGGCTAAGAAATAAACACAATCGGTGTTGCGTTCCATCAATTCTTCCTCTATTTTTTCTTTGTAAATAAAAAGCTGAAAGACATAGCACTGCTTGGGTTTACAATTTTACATGGCGGAAAATTGAAGAACAAAAACCAAACAAGAGTGCATGTGAGCGAAAGAGACTGAGAGGTGAATGCGTTGTTTGTGATTTCATTATATTTGATCGTATGTTGGAAAATCTTTAACCACAAGGATTAAATGAAGAAATTATTATATTCTATTTATACAAAATAATTCCAGCTTTGTGGGAGACTTTCAACAATGATACATAGTTCATCTTAGTAGTATTTGTCAACTCTGCATTTCTAACCCCATTTTTTCTCACAAGCATTTCATCGAACATCTATGTTGCACTTGAGATGACCTGTATCTAATATTAAACCTTGAATCGTTGATGGTCCCGATAGTCCCTTGGTCGAGTCTTCTCTCAATGGATCATTATCAAGTCAACACCTCCACATAATTCAAAGTTAGATTAGAATTTCCCATGCATCCCCAGTTGAAAAGTTACGCTGGAAATGAGAAGAGAAAAGCAAAAAACGGAAATTCAAGATCGAAAAGGAATTTGGGGTTTAGAATAAAATTAAGGATTGTATTGCAAGTTTTAAAAGTTGGGGGATCTTGAAAAGTTCAGTGACCATATTGCAAGCTTCTAATGGTAGTGTAACGGTCGGGGACCATATTGTAAACGGACTAAATGTTGGAGGATTGTATTGTAAGTTTTAAAAGTTTGGGGACCTAAATGAAAGCTTTAGAAAAGTTCAGTGACCATTACTATACTTTACCCTTAAGAAAATGTTATACTTTTATTATATATATATAAAAGTAAAATACGTAAATAATCACTTGATTATAAGATGTATTTTTATCGAGTCTTTTAACTAAAAAAATTCAAATTGGTTATTTGACTTAAAAAATATAAAGTTGGTATTTTTCTTTTAAAAATGACTTATATCACAAATAAGTACTTAAAGTATACTTTATTTTTTGATTAAGTATCTAAAGTATTTTTTGTTAAAATAAATACCTAAAGTTATCTTTTTTTTAGTCAAAAAAAGTACTTAAAGTATTTTATGTCAAAGTATGTATCTAAACTATTCAAACTTTTTCATCTAATTTCTAAAAAAGTTGACATGTGACATTAATTAAAGAATACTTTAGGTACTTGGATGAAAAAATTGAATACTTTATGTATCTATTTTGATCAAAAGATAACTTTAGGTACTTATTTTGATCAAAAAAATACTTTAGGTACTAAAATGAAAATGATGGTATACTTTAGGTACTTATTTGTTACATAAGCCTTTAAAAATTAAATTTAGCCCTCAACTTTTAAGTTTTGTTTAATTAGATCCTAATTTTAAAAATTAAACTCAAATTTAAATATTATACAAATTTAATCCTCTTCCGTTTCCTAATCTCACTGCTCTTTTATTCTCTTTTGAGTCTCATATTGGTGTGTTTTATCAAGAATTTTACCCACATTGCTTCAATCATTTAGTAATAAAATCACCATTAAAATCATTCATTCACTTGGGATCCGCCTGAGAAGGAAAGAAACAACTAAATATAGTATTTGGGCATAATTAGTTCAGAAAACAGATACTCTAAGCACCTATTGAAATGCATAGTGTAAGACCCTGTTCTTCTTCACGTGCCTCTTGTCTTACTAAAAAAATTTGAATGAAAAATTAAATCAATCTCTGCTGATCTACTTTAGGCAACCTTGTAAGAAAATTGTACATAACCAAAGGTTTATGAGGAACTTGATGCAGCTGAATACACACCCTGCCCACATCCTTTATCAGACTTCCGATTGGTGGTCACCATAATCCTAGCTTGAGCAGCAACCTCCCTTCTTCATAGCCGACACATCTTTACCGACATCGATTTTCTCTCCCTTGGAGGGAACGGCTGAAGCATTGCCTTCTTCGCCTGTCTCCATAGCTTTCTTGCTCACTACATGGTAGATCTGTGTAAGAACTTCAGCGAATGCGTTTTCGACATTGGTAGCTTCCAGGGCAGAAGTTTCCATGAAGTAGAGGGATTCTTTCTCGGCAAGGGATTTCCCGTCCTCGGTCGAGACGGCCACAAGGTGACGGAGATCTGATTTATTACCGATGAGCATGACTACAATGTTGGGGTCTGTGTGATCCCGCAATTCTCTTAGCCACCTATCGACGTTTTCGAATGTGGAGTGTCGTGTAACATCATACACGAGAAGTGCACCAACGGCTCCTCGGTAATAGGCACTTGTGATGGCACGATACCTATCAGTGCAAAAGGAGCAGTTCAGATAACAATGATAAGGGCATTGAACAAAGCAATAGTACAATCTTTATCTAATGCAAACTCCAAACAGATGGTACATTTCAGCTAAAAGATTTGCAAAATAGGAGGTTTTCATCATTCTTATGGGCCTAGCCTCACTTCTTCCTTCCCCTTTCTTTCATTCAATCCAAGAATGATAGGATATAGCTTTATATTCCATCTTTCAAATCCAAGAATCACCTTAGAAGACATATGAGAACTTTGTAGCCTTACATCATATTCGATCAGGAAAAAAGAACCATATCGAGGCCATAACACGAACAGCCACTAACAGCTACATCGACGTTAGCTATGTAAGACGACTTTACACAGATCGGAAAGAGCTTAAAATCGAGCAGTAGCATCAATGCTTAATTAGCCGTGGCTTTAAGCATCTCAGCCATAGAAGAAATACATCAGTTACCCCACAATGACTCAAATGGTCCCTAGCTTTAGGGTTTACACCCACAATAGTAATATCCATAAGGAAGCATACATTTTAAGGCAAAGCATGAACATTTGTTACTCATTGTCAAGTCACTTAACTGCAGAAGAACGCACACGGCACATATAACAAAGATCACAAGATGAAGAAACATAAAGATCTACTAAATCTCGCTTTCAAATCTATGTTGGACATGTTTGCAACACAAGTCTATTAGGAAAAGAAAGCAAATCTAAACAACAGATTTGTAAGAAACAATCATAACACCATTTACTCGAATGTTGCTCACAGATCTAGATAAGCAAGACCCCCTTTTTTTCTAATATGCAGGTAAAAAAGGATTTATCAAATCCCATTTTAGATCAAAGCAAGACCTTTGTACGCAAAATCAGAAGAGAACTAAAAATACCAAGATGAAAAACAGGAAAGGAAGACAAGGAAGTGGTGAAAAAAAGGCAAGACCTTTCTTGGCCAGCCGTGTCCCAAATCTGGGCCTTGATAACCTTTCCGTCGACATTCAAGCTACGAGTAGCGAACTCAACGCCAATAGTGGACTTGGACTCGAGGCTAAACTCGTTCCTGGTGAACCTGGAGAGCAGATTCGACTTTCCCACACCTGAATCACCGATCAAAACCACCTTGAAAAGGTAGTCATAGTCATCCTCTGCTCTGTAACCAGCCATCTTTCACTCTCTCACACAACCACAGCTGTTACAGAGCTTTACCCTCTTTATTTGCGTCCAGTAATAAAAGATGGATGGCCTGTTTCTTCACGTATATTAAAGCCTCTTCTTTTAAAGATAAACAAGGTGTGTGTGGGGGAGGGGGGGAATCTAATTTTTCTTTATTTTGGAGATGGAAATGTAAAAGACTGATTGTGTGCTAGATTGAGAGATTTTGTTGTACGGAATCTTAATATACGTTTAAAAAAATATTTTATTGAAAATATTATTATTATTTTAATATTTTTAGTAAAAATTTATTTAAAATATTAATATTTTTTAATATTTTCGGTAAAATATTTAATATTAACATTTTCGATAAAAAAAATAATATTTTAGGTAGCCATTTATCGGATATATTAACAAACCCGATAAAGCGTCCAATAATAATATTTTCGGTAGAAATAATAATGTTTTAGGTAATTTTTTTACCGAAAATGTTAAAAAAATAATAACATTTCCGATAGCGTCTTTCTTTGGTCTTATATTAAGTTGTCGCACGTGATATTTACTGTTAAAAAAATAGGGGTTTATGGGTAATTAAAAGATATTATTTGTTGTGTTTTTGTCCCCTCTTTTGTTTCTTAACAAAAGGTTCCTTCGATTTGAATCATAGTGTTAAATTGCGGTTATGACTATCGTCGTGGTTGTAGCTATCGCGTCGCGGTTAAAGGTGTTGCGAACGTTATAGTGTGATTTTTTTCTTCTAAAAAATAACTATGTTTTATGTTATAGTTACGATTTGCAGTGTCGCAATGACCTTTAAAAACGTTTACGATGTGACTGTTACATTGCGTTGCGGCTGTAAGGTTTGAATGTGTCGAATGAATCACTGCTTACAGTGTCAATGTTCAAAAGTTTCGTGTAACATCCTTGTCCAGTACGACACACAGTCAATCGATTTAAGGTGCTACACGGAACAACCAAAGTGGTTGACCAATTTTTTTATTTATTTAAATATAAAACAATTGTAAAATAAACTAAAGAATAAATAAAATATTTACACTAAGGAGCTCAAAATTAAAATATTTACACTTTACAAAAATGATACAGACTTCTCTACTAAAACTACGACTCAACTTGAAAATAAAGTTTACAAATATACATGCCCTTTCAAAAAATGTTGAGACATACTCTGAATCTGCACTGGTCTGAAATGGTTTTTGGTATATCCACTGCTCCTCACCTGTTGGATCTACTGACCTATCCACGAAAACAATCCGAAGGTTGAGCTAACTAGCTCGGCGACATATTAATAGTTTAAACATACTAAGTGCATATCACTGAAATGCTAGCTATCAAGTCTACCGATTTGATCTGCTTAGTGAATATCCTTGCGATATTCACTCTCTACGCTACTACAAACATCATGGTGAGGCTAAGGGATTATTGCATCTCAGAGCTCATGCACCCCTCTAGCCTACTGAGATATGGTCCCCAAAATTCTGCATCGGACACCATACCCCTGACTAACCCACTTATTGTGAGTGTCAGGCCTTTGCCTTAGTTAGTCGGTTTTAAGTTGCGCCCTACCTTAGGATATATCCGGAGTACGTCTATACTTTCGACTCCACTAGTTTTTCTAAAGGAACTCGGGTGTCTGAATCGTTCCCCGAGCATCAAACAAGGCTAATCTTATTTATCCCTAATTATTTGGTTTCTATGTTTGATTTAAACATCAATTATGTTCTCACTTGTAGTCTTATTTGATTATATAATTAAGTTTAGATAAACTCCCTACAACTCAAACACTCTCCTAAAATGACTTAAAACATTTGATTTCTAAAAACCCATAAAAACTCATTTTTGAAAAACTAAGCCAAACCTTGAAATTAAGAGCTCTAATGGAAGCTTAAAATATGAATAATATATTTCTTACCTTGATTACTTCAATCTAAGCTTAGGTTTTCTAAGAGCTTGATCTTTACTAGGGAGAATGAAGGAATAAGACAATCTAGAGAAGAAGAAAATAAAGAGATATTTTTATAGAATGACTCATGTGAGATACTATAGGAGATGGGGGTTTTAATTTTTAAAAACAAGTTATGGGTAAACTACACTTTCAGTTCTTTTCCTTTATAACTTAAATTAAAAATATAATTTTCCTTGACTTTTAGGCCAACCTTAAGCCCAATACCATCTCTAAATGGTCCAAACTATCTTAGGAGGTCTAATGGGCTCTACTCACGAGATTTGGGTTGGCCGAAACTATGGACCCGGGTTCTGGGGCATTACAACTCTCCCCTATTAATAGGAAATTTCGATAGACATCTACTACTAATTTTAACTTTTAGTGCATCTAACTCTAAGGGTTGGTCACTAAGTCAACTGTGGTTGTTATTGGAATAGAAAATAGAGTAAGGTTACTTTAGTTCTCATCAAATGCACCCTTCTTCTCCTCCGCTTGAGCTCTAATCGCATATTGATGGGCTGTAACTCTAGGCTCCCCACTAACTCCTGACTAAATTACACCTCTACCAACCTGAACCGATGAACTTCCTCCTCTCTGAAATCTTCTGCCCCTCTGGACTGTCAGAGCTGATTGCTGAGTCGAAGCTGGAATTACATTCTGAGCTTCTGGGAAATCTCAGAGAAAATAATCTAAAGACCCACAGCAGTAACAATATTGGGCCAAAACCCTGTAAACTCCTAGGTACTTCTTACCACAACGTGAATAGGTAGGATGAGAAGACACTCTTGACGAATCCTTCAATACTAGCTACTATTGCAATAAACAATGGTCTATTGCACTAACTGATCATACTTCCTCCTCCGCTAGTACTCTACATTGATCGGTTAGACTGACCTATCATGGCTTTCTCATGCTCATGAGATTCTCTCAACCTCTTGGATGGTTGGACTGGTTCTACTGACTCTGTCATTTCTCTGCCCTGACCTGAAGTTGCACCTTATTTTGTTGCTCTCTTTACCATAACTCTCTCTACTACTTTTTCTTAGAGAACTAGCTCGATAAAGGCTTGTGGTGGATTAGAAGCTAGGTGAGTTAAGATATCTAGATGAAGACCCTCTCTGAATTTTCTGCAGTGGTGATACTCAGACGAAACCAACTCTGGGGCATATTTACTCAGCCTAAGGAACTCCACCTCATACTCTAATGTTAATATATTCCCTTGGGTTAACTGAGTAAATCTATCTCTCATTGCATCCATGTGAGTTTCTCCTATGTATTGTTTTTGGAAAAATTCCTCTAAAAACTGGTCTCAGGTGGGTCGTTCGAGCTCTAATGACATCTCCACTGTCTCTTACCAATCAATCGCGTCACCTTTCAGTAGCGAAATAACATACTCCAATATTCCCTCGAGAGTAAGATACAACCAATGAAGGGTTTTAAGGGTTTCTCTTAACCACTGGTCGATTATGATTGGATCATCATCCCTTAACCCAAAGAATCCAGTGGTCTGATACCTTCAAAGCCTTTCTACTAGGGCTTCCTAAGGTGCTACAACTATAGGAACAAGTTGGACTAGCTAGAAAGATGGGGTAGCAGGTATCTGAGGAATACTCAAACAATCCACTCTAAGATAGAGGTTGGATTACTAAACAAGGTAGCCTTACCAACTTCAGCGTCTCCAGGCTATCCATGCTCGGAGTCTGGGACAAACTCATATCTTGAATCACTGACTAAAGAATATCTACTCTCGTCTCTACCCTCTCTACTATGATATGGGACTTTGTCCAATTCTAAAATTAAGAGGAAACAAAGAATTACTATCACTATTGCAGATACATAAGTACGACTTAACTCTTTTAGAGCATGTATAGTTATAAACTCTTTACTAACATTGACTGACTCTGATTGACACTGACCATCAGTAACTCGTGGGTCCTAGGAACGTCAATCCTGATGCTTTGATACCACTAAATATAACCCCCTACACTATTACGACACATATTCGACCGATTTAAGGTGTTACACGGAACCACCAAAGTAGTTGACCAACCTTTTCTTATTTTCTTTAAATATAAAACAACTGTAAAATAAACTGAAGAATAAATAAAATCTTTAAACTAAGGAGCTCCAAATTAAAATATTTACACTTTACAAAAATGATACAGACTGCTCTACTGAAACTACGACTCAACTGGACAATAAAGTTTACAAATATATATGCCCTTTCAAAAAAAATACTGAGACGTTCTCTGAATCTGTACTGGTCTGAGCTGGTTTTTGGTATATCTACTGATCCTCACCTGCTATATCTATTGACCTGTCCACAGAAACAATCCGAAGATTGAGCTAACTAGCTCAGCGACACACTAATAGCTAAAACATACTAAGTGCATATCATTAAAATGCTAGCTATCAAGTCTACTGATATGATATGCTTAGTGAATATCCTTGAGATATTCAATCTCTATGATGTTGTAGACATCATGGGGATTCTGAGGGATTACTGCATCTCAAAGCTCATGCACCACTCTAGTTTACTGAGATATGGCCCCCGAAATTCTACATCATACCCCTTACTAACCCACCCCTTGTGAGTGTCAGGCCTCGACCTTAGTTAGTCAAATTTAAGGGCCTTGCGTCGCACCTAAGGATATATCCAGACTGCATCTATACTTTTGACTCCACTAGCTTTTCTAAAGGAACTCGGGTGTTTGAATCGTTCCCCGAGCATTAAACAAGGCTAGTCTTATTTGTCCCTAATTATTTGGTTTCTACATTTGAATTAAACATCAATTATGTTATCACTTGTAGTATTATTTGATGATATAATGAAGTGTTGGGGTACATAATGTCTAATCCCTCAAAAACTGACCTTTCTATCCAAAATAAACTGAAAATATCGATACTAGCCAAGAGTATCGATACTCCTGCAAAAATTCTGATACTTTATATAAGTACCGATACTTTTAAACATTATGTTATGCCTAGTTTCGGTATTTTCTGAGAATTTTGAAATTATGACCCAAGGTTTTGATACTCTTGAAAGAGTTTCGATACTCTTGGCTAGAAAACACGATTTTACTCATAAACAAAGAACAAGTATCGATACTAACCTTATAGTATCGATACTCTACCAGCATAAGTCATAAAACAAACACAAAAACTCTATTTTTGAATCCCAAAGACCCTAGTGAGGTCCCCAAACATTC